CAAAGTTTGATGCAAAAACGCATGATCGCACCGGCTCGCCTGGTGCGTTCCAGCCTGGGTTTATAAAAGGATACTCTCATCCGTTGGTTAAATCGCAAATCAAAATATTATCAATTGCGAAAAAGTTATGAAGTACTAAATGAACAAAAGTAATACATATTCGTGGTTTAACAGAGCACCAAGGAGTGCAACCAACGACCAGTCACGATTTGGCGTTGACATAAGAAAAGCGAGCTGATCAAGAAATACTGCTGAACTGGGATAGAGAACATGCGAACACTGGATCACACAGTGAACCGCTTCTTCTAGCAGTATTACACGAGCTGAACTCTATAAAATGTGCATGTGAAGGAAAACTGTTCATATGGTTACTATCACTACTGTAATAGCTGAAAACAACAAGCTACATAAGCATTCACACATAGCTCTCTCTGATTCTTAGAATTTTCGCCACGCCTTTATTCTCTCCTTTTCATGCATTTTTTGCTGCAACGACTGCACAAAAAGCGCATTATGGAAGCCTTATCTGTGTGCGTTCTATGTTTCGAGTGCGTTTTATCTAGCGTTTTCAAAATAGGAACCAGAAAAGCTAGGAAGCTCGGATTTTAAGATGGAATTTCTGTACAGCGTGAGATCCCGCAGATTTAAATCCAGTTCCACATAAGCCTAGTTTTCTTTCTTTTGCCAAAGAGATACCACCAATTTTCGCCTTTCGTAGTCTGAGTACGGGCATCAGTTTTTGACGGTATAGAATGGTCAGAGTTTACAGATATAAATGTAACGAAGCATACGTCGTCAGAGAGTTGTTGCTCGTTCGCAATTTCAAAAATTGAAGAGACGATCGACGCAAACTGCACCATTTGTTCAGCCACAGCACTGGACGGCTCACTCTTCTCCAATCGCTCACTACGCCTTCTTGGCAAATACAGGGAGCAGATATAAAATCTAGAAAGGGTTCCTTTCCAGAAGCTAACGTAGGTACAAACATCACTACCCCATGAAGATGAAAAAAATTCAGTTAATTTTCTTGGCAACGTTCCGGCTTTTTATTTTGAGGCCTTACAAAAGTAATAAAGGGACAATGGACAACAGCGTAACTATGAAACATCAATTACTGAAAAGCTAAAGCAGCTAAAAACATCTCAAAAACATCCCAGATAAGGTTGCCAGGTTAAATAGCGAAAGATTTGCGTTGCTCAGATTGAAATGCTCTAAAACTCTGACTAAAACTTACTTCAAAAACCGTAACGCCAAAATAACGATGATCATGAAACGCTCACGCATCCATGCTGCATCTTCACGTGACGAATCGACTTCTACCACAGCTTTCTGAAGAGACCAGTCCACCAAACGGAACAACGATTCGATAGTGGTTGACGATATTGTGAGCAGATACTGTGAACTAATCGCGCATGATATGCAGTCATGTGAGCTTAAAAAAAAGGTTTGTTTTGCTAACAAAGCCCCATATCCTCCATTCTTACTTCTTTTTGCTTTCTATTTTAGAAAGTGAAAATGATCATAAGCGAAAAGAGCTCACGCATCTGTTGCTTTGTTCTTTGCATCGAAATCTGGCGATTGAGTATTGGATGCTTCAGATAGATACAGAAATTCCGGTATTTGCCCAACACTGATATCGGTACCGTTATTGGACATACGAGAATTTCGGAAAAAAAACCGCACGCCATCTTCGCCTACAACATTTGACTGACCACTTGCACCGCAATCCGAACTTGGTCCACTGAAAATTCAGCAAATTCAGTTTAGCCTCTTATTATTTATTAGCACTGGGAACTGGAGCCATCATTTCGTCTCCATTTCTCTACATGCCCCCAAATTTGTTGTACTGACGAGAATCAGTTGCGTATCTTTAATGTATTTTTGACCACATGATTCTCTGATATTTATCGTTTATCAGTGCTGAAGTTTTTTTTTTATTCAAAATGAATGAAATTCGTACCAGATATCTAATTTACACAATAACAATATATTGTTGTATTGTCTGTAACTGTGCTTTTGTTTCTCTGTAACATATTGTTATCGCTGATGTAGTGATAAGATCCAAATTCTGCTCCGCTGTGCACTGTTTACGAACTAGAATGCCTGGTGTATAAATGCTAATTTTATTTTATTACTGAACTTATTTCTGATAATGCGCTGGTAACATCATCGGCGATACTTTTAATTCCTTAATTTCATGCGCTAAAATCTTTGGCCTTGATAGACATTCATTGTTACTTATAATGATAACGATTTTTCCTATCAAACCCTTTCCGGTCACATTAATTTGCAATCAAAGCGGTAAGTACCTGAACACCAGGGGGCGATGTCCTGGTGGCTCAGAGCGAGTCGAAAAGACACTTTTTCGACTGTGCTACAAACCACTGACAAAAACCGGTTGCCAAAAGAACCTGACATATTGCTTAGACAGGTGGGATGACATGGAGGATTCACACTTTCGCTACGTCGAAGGATTCAAACATAAAGAAAGCTTTCTTTAGAATAACAGTTATCCATGAATATTTACTTGACTTGCGTGCAAATGACATGCCACAAGTTTGCTTTGATTGAGACTGGTCGTGGGAACAGAAGTTGTGCTTTTTCGTGTGCTGCACATTCATAAAGCATTTCATCGGATTCGCTAAGCAGTTCCACACTCTGTTCTTCGTAATCTGGTGCGCACAATCGGTACAATTTCAGTCTGAATTACATCAAAATTACGCAATTTGCATCGAACAGCTGCCCACATAACAGTACCAAAAACACATCTCAAACATTTAGTTTTCTGCGTCCACGTTTCTTTCAAAATTGACAATGAAAAAGAAAATTTTGCAACACTAACATTTGAGACCAGTTTTAACTTAATTACTGAAGAGCTAAAAAGAGTGGAAGGAGGTCAGAACAGAGTAGCAGAATGTAAATATAATTCGCAAGAGTGCAGAAAAGACGCAAATGAGTTGCTACCTACTTAGCAATGTATTCGCCACGACCACCAAACAATCCAATCCCAAAAAGTCGGATATCCTGTGAAGTCCGGAATTGTATGGCTTCCACAGAATGTGCCGAATAACCCCAGCCTCCGCCATAACCTTCAAATCTGTCAATACGATGATACCCACTTGAAAAACCTCGACCAGCTGAAGCTCCACCGATATTTGGGGCTTTTGCTTCATGAGCAAAGTAATCGACCTGAACGCCAAAAATTTTTAAAATGAAGCACATATACACATTAGGGTCCCTAGTAAAACTAGGTACCGAAGACGGTGTTTAGTCGGCAGTGTGCTAGTACGATAGACTGAAAAATGATGGCTTTTTTTAAACTTCGAATTAAATGCCATGCAATTCTGTACTGTTCCAGCAACACTTTTGCCAACTTCTCTCCCTAACGATCTAAAAACTTCTGGATGTGATACTTGAATTTAAACAACTTACTGCATCAAAATATAGACGTCTACTGATGAAGAAACAAACTTTTTGTTCAGACGGTCGCCGACTTTCCAGCATTGTTGCAACATAGGCTGTACTAAGGAGGTTCAGTGCAAGCTGTCTGATCGGTAAGCTTATTTCGCCGACCATCGGAATCATGAATTCAGGTGCTCGTAAAAAACTAATTTCTTTCGCCAGTGCTTCCATGTTCGCATCGCTGCTCTTTGCTTCCTGAGATCGTGGCAAACACGCAGAAATTGATTTGATGCGCATTTCAGCCGCATTGAATGCCCATAGTAAATCATACTTAGGTTCCAGACACCAACTAAAAAACATTTCAATTGCACAAAATAAGGAAAAAGGCATTTTAACTGCACAAAAATCAGTCTAGCTTTAGTATTTTTATTATTGTTATTATCATTATTGTTATTACTGTTAATATTATTGTCACCGTCTTTATTATTACTGTAATAAACTAAATGTCTTTTGCTGTCTCTTTCGCTTAGAAAAAAAGTTTTTTGACCTTTAAATACCAATTTTAAAAAGAAATTTACTGTTTCCTGGTTCTTTTTTCTATTTTTTCAACGCATTCTAGCGGTTCTGCGACGAACCAACGCTGCTTTGAATAAATTTCGCACAACTTTGGTCAAATCTCGCGTCTTTTTTATTGAATCGCCACTTCCTTGTGGTCGATCTTTATTCATTGAGCAAATTTTTGCCTCTCCTGCTTAAGTGCCTATCATCACTGAATTTTGCGAGCACCTGGCTTGAATTTCAAGCCTGTAGCTTTGGCGATAAAAAATTTGAAAGACTGCTGTTTTTATTTACTAAAGTACGCAAGCGGCTCATTCCATTTTTCCAAATTTCTACTAGAATCTCGCTTCTTAGATGCTAAAAGCAAGTATATATTTGATTGCAGTGGCTTAACAAAGTGTTGCAACTGATATTTATGAACGATTTGGACTAAAAGCAAAAGAAGTGATATGGTAGACAATAACTGTATGAAATAAACTAGTTTATGAAAGGATCCTTATATTGCACGAAACGCCTTGCGTCGTTTTGTGCAAATCACATCTACAGTTTGAGCAGCATTTCGGAACTATTCAACTGATCCTCCAGTGCTGTTCAACGGGACGCCGTTTTGCACATATTCACGGTAACTATAAAACCGGACTAATAACGGGGAAAGTGAGGCGCAATCATAAAGTTCACTTTGTGTAAAGGCCGCCAGCTCCCAGTGAATACTGATAGAAAGTATTGCATTTTCGTCGTATAACCATGTAGTCTTTACCGACCTCATTTGGGAATAACAATACCGTCTCATTGTTCGCTACGATCTGCAACAATAATCATAAATTCATGAAAATTCGAGAAGTTTTTTGATAACTGTCAAAAAACAACATACCGAATGCTATTTGCTAACTTACCTATGAAGCAATAATGGCTAACCATTGGTAGCTGAACTGAGAAAATGCTAAGATACTGAAGAACAGTAAAGAAAAATGGATGTGGAGAGAAAAATGTTCATTTCATGGCTGCTCAGTTCCATTTTTTTGCGATCCAATCCATTGGTCAAACAGCCATGGTTTGCTAAGGTTATCAAGTTTAGCAAAGCGACATGCGTTAGGGCCTGGATGCGTGCCACTATACTGCATGTTAATCGTAGTACATTATATTTCATCTATTAAAGTACATTTATTTTAAACGTGGAGAGCGGGAGGTTGTACTAATGTTTCCTGCTTCCACTCGCGCCTACTACTCTGTCTGTGTCTACAGCTAAGAAATGAAACACAGACTGCATACTGATTTGTCCTTTCAAAATAGCGAAATTTCATTTTTGCTGACCTTATATATTATGTTATGTAGAATGATCGTTTTTACTTCTAGAAAATATTACGAGAAGTCTATGTGAACTATGTTCTTGCCAGTACGCTTTTCCTTTTTCTGGTTCTGGAACTCCAAATGTATTTCAAAAGCAGCAAAATCACTTGGCAATCCAAGATGATACCACTGCTGTAAACGCGCGCCTGGCTATGAATGAAAGTTGTATCACCGGAGGCACCAATCCAAGTGGCAACCGTACCACTACCACGTCCAAAGCCGGGAACAAACGATGGAACTGCAAACCAATTCCTCTCACCTTCCTCCCTGAAACAGAAATAAAAATAAAACAGCGGACAAGCCGGTGCGAGCCGGTGCAAAAAGCGAAAAATCGCGAAACTTTGAATGCAGCTTTTCAGAAAAAAAAAGTATGCCTGGCAAGTTGGCCTTGTTTGTATGCACCAAAGGTGATAACTGAACCGTCAGCAGTGCGCAAAATGGTATGATTTGAACCAGCAGCAATCTGTACAACCTGGACCTTACCAGGCAGTTCCACCTGAAAGTGCAAAAATGCTTCACTTATTCAGTTATGAAAAGTACGAAAAAGAATCCAGAAAGATTTAAACAGCGAAATTTTGCTGTATTTCAGAAAAAAACCCAGGCTGAAACGCACCGGGCGGGCCCGTGCGATCATGCATTTTTGCACCGGACTTGGAGTACGCAGGTCATTAACTGCATGAATGGCTTTGCTTTACACCTACCTGCTGCGGTCACTAGCATAAATCAC